CAGACTTCTACATGTGCCTGTGCTTTGGGCTAGTCATACATTGTTTGGTTTTATCCAAGAGATTGTGTTCTCTTTTCAGTTAAGTGTTTTGCATTGTATATCTGAATGTTTTTATTTTGTCCTTGACTGATATGTTTCAAAACCCAGACCTTCATAGGATATGTTAAATAAGTCCATTAGATTACAAGGTTCTGCCAGCCTGGTTAGCTACCCATGGAATTAACTTTAGTTTGTGACTTTTGGCCATGAACATCACTTGCTATTCCAATCTATTTTGGGCAAAATGTTTGATCTTTTTACACTTTTTTTTACTGTGCTGATGTCCAGACTCAGAACTGATATGTGAGCTTGGGCTCCCAAGAGCAAACTGAGGATTTCAAGCTTTAGTTCACAATCTCCCCATTTGTAGCGGTTACATGTGAAGAGACCCATCAAGGAGAAGGATGTGATGACAGGCTTCCTAAAATTCTTATGAGTATGTTCGTTCTGTTCCCAAAGGTAGGCATTAGATACAAAAGCCTGTCATTAGTGCACCTTGAGCACACTGTTTCCTCACTGAAGGATGATGCATTATAGTAATTCTGTCTGTTTTAAGAAGCAGAGCTTAAAATAGAATGGTATGTAACAATGTATCTTTTCTAAACATAAAGATTTCTTTGTGTCATAATAAAATACAGGGCTTTAAAAATTATTATTAATGTCCCTCATATATATTTTGTTCTTTTCATTGAGGTAGCCAACTTTATGATGCCTGGTTTTGTAAAAGTCTTTCCCCCCCACCTTCCCTCTTTTGTTACTGTTTTCCATTTTCTCTCATATTCTGGTCAGATAGTCTTAATTTTAGTTTCCAGTGTCCAGTAATTTTTTTTAATGTACAGTATTTTATCTTCATTCTAGGTCTGTATTAACTCTCTCAAGTGCTAAACCTAAGAGAGTAGTGTTAAGAGCTGAGTGATCACCCTTGCCATACTTAATTGTAGAGGAGTTGTTTGAACTTGTAACACTTGGAAAATGGAAGTGAATATATTTGTTTTGTTATTCTCATGGCAACGAGATATTTATAATGAGCTTCTAAAAACAAGTTACAAATACACACAAAGAAGTTGATTCTTTGTAACATTTGCTTAATAGAAAGAAATTAGGTTCTTTTGGGTTTTATAGTTGTGGGGTTTTGTGGTGCTTTTTTTGGGTTTTTTGTTCAACTTCATGACCTCTGAAAAGCTGGTATTAGGAAGGGGTTTCCTGAATATGAACAGGCCATTAAAAATGATGGAAATAAACTGGGGGTATGACTGCCTTGTGTGTCATGCAGTGTCCATAGTATTATATTTTTTCATAGATTAGTTTGGGTTAGAGGGACTTTTTGCAGGTCATCTAGTTGAATACTACCCCCCACCCACACACACACCTGCCCCAATGAGCAGGGACATATTCCATGAGGCCAGGTTGCTCAGATCCCCATTGAACCTGACCTTGGATGTCCCCAGGAATGGGGCATGTACCACTTCTCTGAACAAGCTATTCCAGTGTTTCACCACCCTCCTAAAAAAAGTCTTCCTTATAGCCAGTCTAAATCTGCCCTATTTTAATTTGCAACCATTAACCCATGTCATATCACAATAGGCCCTGCTGAAAAAGGCTGCCCCCATCTTTCTTAAAAGATCTCTTCAGGTACTGAAAAGCCACAGTAACGTCTCTTGGAGCCTTCTCTTCTCCAAGCTGAACAGCCCCAATGTTCTCAGCCTGTCTTCATAGGGAAGGACCTCCAATCCTCTTCTCAACTTCGTGACCCTCCTCTGGACTTTGCTGACTGTACAGACAGAAGAGAGAGTAGGAGCATCCTGTCCTAATTAGTAATAATGATGACAGTAACTGCTTAGAGCTCTTTGAGACCTGACTCCAAGGACAGGAGGGGTGTAGGATTGCTACATGGTAATTTAGATGCTGTGGTACATGACATACACATACCATATCTGACATACCAGAAGTGCCAGAACACATTGTGAATTTATCAACTGTTCTGAGGGATTTCCGCAAGACTTGATGTATGTTGCAACTGTAGAGTTTTTGAGTTAATTATGATGCTTTACAAGTGGGTTTGATAATAAGTCAAAGCTGCTTTATTTAGGAAAGTGGATATAACTGCAAAAATTGCTTTACTCCCAATCCTGTTTTTAGTGCACTCCAATTAATGTTGTTTGCTGATAAAAAATACCACCCATGATGCATATTTCTCTTTCTTTTGGGGTCCAGCTGCAATACTACATTGGTTGTATACATATCCAGTTTTTGCTTTTGCTTACACTTTAAGTTGGAGGGGGAAAACCTCCTCATTTCCGTGTAAGTGTGACAGGGAAAAAGACCAAATGTGAGAGGCAGGTATACGTGTCTTAGACCAGATGTTCTTTGTTCCCCTCAGCACCCTTATTTATGTGTTTTTCCTTGTAATACACAAAAAAAAAAATCATGCTCTTGTATTTAACAAGTGTGTAACCAAAAATTCTTCATGTGTTTATCAAAATAAAGGAGTCAACATGAATTTCATCGGGTTTTGCTGAAAGTGATAATTGGCTTTCCCATTGCAATGATCTTGACTGATGATCCAAACTAAACCTATGTGCTACAGAAAATTGCCTTTGAAAGGTCTGTATGGTAGACTTGGCTGTGAGTCTGTAGTGAACAAGGGCCTTAGGGTGTTGCTATGCTGAAGCTTTACAGTTCCTGCCAATGCTGTCTTTTTTCTAAATGAAAGGCAAAACCAAATGAAGTCCTGACCTCTTGAGCTAGTTGAAAGTTCTTGGACATGTTTCATCAGAAGAGAGATGTTAATCCTATTAATGAGAATCCTGGAGAAATTCCAAGTAGTTAATTGCAGTTTATTCCATGTGTCTTTTTGATTAATGAAATACTGGATTATATTCTTCATTTCCACTGTCATGATGTTCTTTTACTAGCTAATTCCATGAGATACTCCAGCACATGCTTCACCTAAAACAGACAAGTAGTTGCAAACAGAAATGTTTGGTCAAAAAACAGATAAAATTTGTTTTGTGGGGATTGTTGAGATTTGCTCAAATGTTGGTCTGTATTTGAAATACAGAATGCTAGTAATGGACGGTTATGTACAGGATTCTATTATTGTTGAATTTTGGTGCGAATAACAAATTTCTTCTTGTTTTAAAAGCCTGAGGTAAAATTTCATTTTGTGTTTAATTAATTGAAGTAGGAGTCACTTCCTAACTGTTGGTTTTGAAACCAGAAATTTCACTTCCCCCTTCCATTAGTGGAGGCACTGTCCAGCTGAGGGGGATTTGACCTTGAAGGTGTCTAAGATAAGATCAAAGACAAATCAATGGCAGTTGAACTGCTCTTTGCAGTGGCCATTTTGACACTTGCATTAAAATTAGATTTCTACACATGATTTTTGTAGCCCAAGATTTCTGTTGCCAGTGCACGCTATTCTAGTGTCTATTGTTTATTCCTATATAAACAGCTGTCGCTGTTGAAAGGACTGGTCTGGGTTGTGTGGTGGTGGCTGGTTATATTTTTTTTTTCTGATTTGCTTGAAATGCTCTCTAAATTGGCATAAAAAAAAATGCTCAAGGAGCAAACAAAACTCTTGTAGTAGCATGTATCCCAGCAACGTGGACTCTCAAGTATTACTTTACTTTCATAGTATTGTAAATATTTTCTGCTATTAAAGATGACACTATTTAAGATTATATCAGCATGAGTATGAGAATATCTTTTTGAAAGTGTTTCTACTTGATCTGTAAAATTTTAACTGAAACCATATGATTAAATTTTGGGGTGTAAATTCTTATTCTGAAGATTGGGGAATCTGTAATTTACCAATGCAGGTAAAGGTGTGTTTTATGTCTACTATAATTCATAAAAAAGAATAAATAATGCATTTTTTTAATGATGAGCGGTCTCACTAGTGCTGTGGCCTCATACTTGAGTTTTGAAATGAGAAACCCTAAAAATAAAAAGAAAGGAACAGTGTGAACTCTACCATTTATCTCCTGTCTAAACTGAGTATTTTAAAATGCTAGAAAACAGGCATGTGTTAACCTTCTTTTGGTTAAACACATCTCTGCAGGGAATGCAGACTTTGCAAGAATTCGATCAATTGAACCCTTTGGTCTGGTGGGTGTAAAAGTTCTGCAGGAATGACAGTATAAATTCATGTTAGTGAAGTGTGAATTTCTCACTAGTCAAATTTTGCACTGTACACTGCTATAGCAAAATCTTCTCCACTAGAAGTAAATGTAAGCAAGTAATTTACTAGTGTGGAAATATGGTCTTCCTATTAGTGAACACAACAGCAAGTATTCAGCTCTGAATTTCTGGGGAGTTCATGAGATTATTGGACTGCTTTATTGTGTTTTTCATGCACCTGTGAATATTTTATGAAGGTGATGATCCATGAAGGAAAACAAGTATTGAATTTAAATGAGTCACTTAAAAATTTGTCAGTCTTTAGTAGAGGAGGAATTTCAAGTTTCTAAATGCTTTCAATAGTTTGCTTTATACAACAGCATGATTCTTAATTTACTTGTGCATACATGAATAGTGACCTATGAATAATATGATAACCATTTATTCAAAGAGGATTAAAAAGATAGTAAATAACAGAAGTCACCTAAGATGCCTCGGCTCTCATTTTATGCATGTAGGCTTTACAAGTGATCAGCCAAATGAGACTTTGATTTGAAGAGCAGTCTGACAGCAGGCCAGGCCCCTTCACTTCCTCTTTATTTCTGAAGTTCTCAGGGGAAGTTTCTAAGGTGCTATCATACTGATGTACACAAAAAAGAAAGTGATGTTCCTAGGATGTGTATTATTTGACACCATAAATGGGCTGCATGGGTTTTCCTGTTCTGTTGCAGTTACTGCAGTTCTGTTCTTCACTGCAGTAAACTGAAACCATTCTGGTATCCTTGGAATGCTTGTTGTGCTCTCTTGTAATTTCTTTAAATCATTGTGTGTTTCAACAGGGGAAAGTCTTGCAGAACTATCACTTTTGAGCAGTTTAAGGAAGCTCTTCAAGAACTCTCGAAGAAGCGATTTAAAGACAAGAGTGATGAGGAAGCAGTTCAGGAAATATATAAACTAATTGAAGGAAAAGCCCCGATTATATCTGGAGTAACGGTATGTTACTGATCTAACAGATGATTGTTCTATTTGTTCTACTGCAGTGTTGTTATATTGACCTGTTTCCCTTTACAATCCATATATTGAATTCCTCTGTGAACCTGAAGGCAGCAACTGCTGAGCAGAATGGGAGCAAAGATTATGCAACAGCTGAGTACTGCACTACTGTGTGTATTGTGTGGGGCTGTCATTGCTCCTGAGAGGAATTGTAGTACCACCTAGCAGCACTGTCAGGAAAATTCAGAGCTCTCATGTATGGTTAGATCAAAGAAACATTCATGAAGAGTGGTGTATTCAAATCAAAAAGAGTAGAAGATAATTAAATTTAGAACCTCATGAAACAGTTCTAAGATTTTGTGTGAAATTACCAAAAGGACTAAAGCAAAGACATCCTAAAATACATTTAATTACACCATGTGAATCCCAGAGCATTGAAAATCTAGGAATAATTATCATGTCGTCTGGTCTTTGTTTTTTTGTTTGTTTCAGGTTTCTCAGAACTATAGTGCTCTTTTTCATTTTAAAATGTTGATATTAAGCTTTGTATATGAAAAGGAAGTTGTAATTCCTACTGTGCATAAATTTGGCTGTCCTTTTAAATGCCTAGGCTAGGTGAGCTTTGACCCAGTAGTTAAGGAGATACTGGAGTGTTTGCCACAACTTGAATATTTCTATCAGTTTAGTAAATCTGGTTAAAATTTGTGAGCCTCCTGAATTTTGGCTGTGGCTCTGTGAATGAAAATGTACTGTTTTCAGATACTGGTTCTGCACAAGTGAACATTGTAAATGTCAAGTGGAGAGATCTCTTTTGAGTTGTACAATTTGTCAGGTTTTTTACAAGATTTTATTTTGTTACTCTTGCACTCATTTGAAACAAGTGGTAGTTTTGTTACAGACTTAATGAACTTTCCTACTTGCTTGTCACTCCTCTTAGTAAGTTTGAATAACTTCTTCATTTGTTCAAGGATTCTCCCTTTGAATTGTGCACATTCTTCTGAGGTTCACTCCTGATTCCATTTTTGGTATTTCAGCAGTTAGATATTGAAATGATCAGTGTCTGCTGCTAAAGAAACAGCTTCTTTCTGTGTGGAGGACAGGGTGATGAGAGAGCTTTGCAGATGCACGGTAGTATCACAGGTATATGAGTATGCCAGCAGCAGGGGGAGAAGAATGGAGGGGGAATATGAGCCAGCAGTGTGAGGCTTGCCTGTACTCCTGTTGTATCTGCATTCTGGGGAGAGTTGGAGAAGTAAAGAAAAGGGCATCACAATATTCTCTCCTGTTTCCTGGCAAAGTAAGGGGCAGGAGGTGGATCTCAAAAGGAGGGAGGGAGAGTGTAGGCTGGGAGTGTGTGTGTAAAACAAAATGTCATGTTTGTTTTATCATGCTAATTTAGTTCCTGGGTGGTAAAAATGACCTGCACACTTGACTGTTGAAAGCATTAAAATAAATAAATGAATACATGGCCATTCTCCCCCTGCAACCCAGGAATGCAGATAGGAAATCTATATACAAACAGTCTAATGCTTTGTTGACTTTCTGAAGTCTATATCCTGGAAATTTGAAGTTGGTCTGCTTTCTATATGGTTTGATGGAGTTATGTGCAGCTTTTCTTAAACTGTTCTAGGATAACTCAGTCATGCCATGTAGTCTGTGCCCTGCTCTGTACATCTCTGCTGCAGATCGTGTGGATTTGGTTCCGGTTTCAGACAAAAAACTTCAGTGTGGCTGCTGACAGGTTAATCTAAATATATTAGGGTAGAAGTTGAAAGTATGATTAAGTGAAGCTTGTAGATAAGTATAATTCAGTAGGATTTTTGTGTCTTAACTCATGTTTTGTACTGTGTTTTGGGGAGGCAGGCAGGAGAGGGCAGTATGTGTGTACTGAATGGCAGCCTGGGGAAACAACTGCTTCTACAGGACAGTTGGAAAGTTTACCTTCACATCAGACAATGAGGATTTTCGTGTATGTTGTGATAGAATATTTCGTTATTTTTGTTTTTTCTTCTCCTTTAGAATGCTGGAAGATTACAAAAATTCCTGTTTATGGTTGATGTGGCTGGAAAGGCTCAGCAGCCAGACATTGAAACCTAGTGAATTTTGGGCTGCTTTCTAATTTGCAACAGAAGGTGTAGGTTGGCTTGGTCACACGGGAAGAAAAACAACAGGGAAGTGATATGGGTTAATTAAGCCAGTAGCTTTATTAGCTCATTTGGTAGTGATCGGTCAATAGAATAATACAGTGAAGGTCATGTGTCTTTGACAGCTTATAATCAAACATACACAAAGTCTGTGTTTTTAGTTGTCCTCACTCCTACACAAAGACTACAAGAGCAAGCCTGAGGTTCTTTCTTTTCCTGTACCAAAAACTGTGTGCTGTAACTGTGCTGAATGCATTTGTACACCTCCTGTAGAACACGTACTTGCTTTAGTCATTGCTTGCTCTTAAAATAAAGCCAATTTTACAACTTTAGTGTATATTCATCAGGGTTTGTGACACAGAAAGGCAGAATAATTATAACTGCAAGGGACCTGGGATGATCTCATTTAAACCTTTGGCTCACAGGAGGGCTAACTTCAAAGCTAGATCAGGTTGTTCAGGGCCCAGTCTAGTCAAATTCCCCATGAGAGTGGTGTGGGTGGCAGGGCAGTACAACAGCAACAGCACTTTCAAAGCTAGGTGATGGGTGCTCAGGGTGATGGTGATGTGGGCAAGATCATATTCTTAGAAAAATGGACCTGTTAGGGACAGAGCAAAGAAGCCAGAATGCAGCCCACAGTGTGCAGCAAATGAGACATAGTAGTTGTTGCAGCAGAAGTGCGAAGAGGCCTAGAAATTCCACTTAAGACTATGTGGATCTGCTTGAAAAAGCTAGCCTGAAAAAGCTGCAGGGCATACTTTCCAGCACATGGACATCCATTAAGATGTAGTAAAAGTCTACAGGACTGCCATTAGCACATCAGAGTCTTTGGCTTAGTAGGAAGGAGTCCTGTATCCAGGTCCTGTGCTGCAGAGAGCTCCTGCATCTTCCTGGAGGTCAGGGCAGTGATGGCCTCTCTTGTGGAAAAACCCAAGCTACACAAGGTGAAGAAGGAGAAACAGCTGTTGACTAAGTGAACAGAGATTACTGAGATAGAGAAGGCTGGAAGCTTGTTACTTCTGGCAACAAAAATTTGCAGATCTGTTCCACCTACAGATCTCCAGTTTCTAGATACAGTATTCCAGGCACTAGTGAGAATCAGCAAGACCTATCAGAGTCAGCTGAGCCTGAACTTAGAGTTCATATAAAAGGGAAAAAAAGGAATAATAGTGTCACCCAACACTATCTGATGCTATGGGGACAGGCAGGTTCTTTTAAGGATCCTTGATAGAATAAGAGCTGGTCACAGGTTTGTAATTATAACTAGAGCTTTATTACTATAGCAAGATTTTTTTCATTATGCATAATTTCTAGCAGTTAGGATGGCTTTCCTATCACTTAAAATTGCAATTATCTGTACTTTTCAGTCACCTGAACACTCTGCAGATCAGGTCAAATTCTTAATAATCAGCATGCAATATATGATTGTAATTTGGACTGTGACTTTAAAAAGTAGGTGAGTCACTCAGTCCTCAGAAGAATAATGACAGAGGGGGTGTCATGATACTCTAGCCCACAGTGTGGTTCCCCACTCCCCACCCCAGTTCCTCTACTGAGGTGTGAGTGTCCCCTGTATCACACCAGAAAGGACAAAAGCCTTAGCAGCCTGTCTGCTGTTGGGTCTGCTTCAAAAACCTTTTGGATCAGCTGATATATCTGTACCTCTCAGTTTGAGTGTTTGGTCTATACAATTTCCATGAGTTAGTGGACTCTGAAAAGGCTGCTAGACTATGAGTATGCAGGAATTTTGCCTGCAGGTCACAGCAGGCTGCAGGTGATAATGACTGTTGTTGCTTGTGCTGGGGTATTAGGTTTTGTTTAACTGTTTTTCAGGAGGAAAAGATCATACTTTTTAATCTGCCAAGCTGTTGCCCATCCTCAGTTTACCTTGTTGGTTTGAAATTGTGGGGTTTTTTTTCCCCAGCAGAACAATAGGAAAGGAAAAAGGAAAGACTAGTGTGACACACTGCAATCTTATTGCTATTGTTTTGTTGTTAGAATGCACCTTGTTTTTCTGATAAGTCATCTGTGTTGTGGTCTTACCAGAATGCAGGTGTCTTGAAATAAACAGCACATTTCTCAAGTTCACCACCGGTAATGATATCCTGGGAAGTAGTTGCCTGGGAACATCCTTCTTTATTGACATGGGCCACTCTATTTATCCTCATTTTACTATTTCTTCTTACATGTTAGTATTTGTGCATTTCTCTTCATACTGTACTCACACAAGTTTTAGTATGTATGTTACAGAATGTTACTGTACAAAAACTGTCATGTATTTTTATTGTAATTTGTGTATTGAGGCAAATTTCATACCTTTCATGACACCCCTTTGAAACAGAGGAGCAGAAGCTGTAGTCTTTCTGCTTCCAAATAGTGATTAAACTTACCTTTACAAGTTCTCATAATAGTGGTCTGTCCTGAGAATGAATTTGGTAAAGGAAAAGGCAGTCAGAGTTTCTGAGACTTCTTTCTTAATGTGAGAATACATTGTGTATGCACGTCTAGAGAAAACTGATTTTCTGGAAAGCAGTGGTATTTAAATACAAGGAAAGTAAATATGTGTTAAGTATCATTAACTTTATACTGAATATTGCCTGTCTTGCATTTGGAGGTTTCCTGGTTCTAAGGTGCTAGTAGACCAATGTGAACAAGAAAATGATATGTATTAAGGCCAATACTTCTTCCTAAGCATTGTCTTCATTTCTATTTTTCAATATAGAAAAATAAGCATTTCTGCAAATTGTACCCTGAGGCTGCAAGGCAGAAGTCCCTAAAGGTTATTCAGCAATGCTGTTTTGAGAAATGAGTGCTCCAGTGGTCTTTTTCTTTCAGATAGTGACAAGTCACACCTCCATAACACCTTTCCCCTCAGGGCCTATATGAAAATAACACTGCAGAACAGTGCAGTATTGTACATGTTACTGTTGGGTATGTTTGGAGGGAAAAAGCAGAAGTTTACTGCCTGAGATTCTCAGTAAATAGTTGTGTATGTGGACAAATTCCCTCAAAACAGGTCCTTTTTAAATGGCATGGAGGATGTGTGGCTTCCATTAGGTACAAGTTACAGCACTCATTCCCTGTCAGACTGGATCCAGGTATCCTGTTCCTCTTGGTACAGTTACAAGCATCTTTTCCAAGTTTCTGATAATTGAATGTTCGGCATTAAAACATATTCAACACATGTCATCCTATGGAAGAGCTATGTGTTACTTTGAAAGCCTGTTTGTTAGATGTCATTAATAAACATTTTATTTGCACTGAAGATGTGTAGAGAGGGAATGAGGTTTTTGATGTAAGGCAGGTTTTGCAGAGCATTTACTTCACTGCAATGAAGTCCCTGTCACTTTTTTATCTAGAATGCATCCTAACTGGGTGGCATGCATAAGAATCTCAGATTTTAGCAGTCTTTGTTCATTTTAGCTCCATTTCCACTACTATGCAAAAGTCGTGTGTGTTTTCCCTTCTCATTTAGTGACCTTTTTCTTCTGATTTTAAAATATAAACTTGAGGATCAATGAGACTGCTCCCAGTCCAAGCACACAGGTTAGCATTTGATGCTCTCTCTATATTATTGTTATGTGAAATACCTTTTTTCTGTTTGTGTAGTCAAATTTTCTTTGTCTTGATGACAATGAAAATTTGATTTTTAAGGAACCTGATACAACTCAGTGGAAGGAAAGTCTGCTCAGTGTCATTTCATAGGCTGCTAGTTTGCTAACATTGAAAATAACTTTCAGTCCTTCTAGTTTGTTAATTCTCTCATGAATCCTAGAGTTTAGAATAAATCTGTTTCTTGAAGGAATGAATTTTAGCTGTACTGGTTTGCTTTTTCTGTATTGGTGGAGCTAGGCTTTTATGCTTTGATGTTGACATAAGGAATTTTGAACATGGCCATCTCCTATGCCTTCTTCATATGTTTGGTGATTAGAACTTGATTATTAATCAAAAGTGTCTCTTATGGAAAGTCTCTTTCAAAAGTTTTTGATATAATTTGCACTATTTTCTTCCTGGCTATGTGATTGTTTCATTGTATGTAACAGCAAGAAACAAACATTTTTTGTATCCTTTTGCTGGAACTCAGTAGGTATTTACATAGTAGTCTCCATCGTTAGCAAAGATTTAAGTGCTGGTACTGTGTACAAATACCTGTATTAATTGATTTCTCTTGTGTGTTTCTTTTCTTTCTTCCAATAGAAAGCTGTTTCATCTCCAACTGTATCACGCCTTACAGATACTACGAAATTCACGGGTTCTCACAAAGAGAGGTTTGATCCCAGTGGGAAAGGAAAAGGCAAAGCTGGCCGAGAAGATCTGGTGGATACTTCAGGATATGTATCTGGTTATAAGCATGCAGGCACATACGATCATAAAGTACAAGGAAACAAGTAAGGCTGAGGGTTTACAGCACAGAGGGGGAAAGAATATATATTTGTAAGAATGATGTTATGAATCCCACATGTTTTGGTTATTGTGAATGTTGAGACTATGTTGTCAAGAAGTTGTCTTCAGGAACTGGAACTGATTTCAACATCTGCTGAGCTACTTGCAGCACAATGCCACTTCATTACATTCCTCATGCATATATTGGCAAAAATAAGTAAATACATAGGTACAAAAAATACATCATTTTGTTGAGCTTTAGACAAAAATAAATACCCCACCAACAAGCAACAAAGCCAAAGTCAAGAGCAGTTATGCCACACTTTGTCAATTCAAGCAAAATATCTCAAACATTCCTAAATGTCTAGTTGCCCTGAGGATGTTGAAGAGAACCTCTTGAAAAGAGGGTATTTCATAGCAGTTTTTCTGAATAATATCCCATTACTTACTCAGTTTGATTTGACTACTGTTTTGGGGTTTGTTGTTTTTTTAAAATGTCTTATATGAGATCTGGCACTTTGCTTAAAACATTCAACAATATACTATTAGGGAGTAATAGTTGTATGGTTGTAATATACAAGGTGCTAGCCTGCAAATGTCATACACCACTCATGGAAAAACTGAAAAAAAAGCTACTTCTAGGACAATATAGGTTCTAAAGTATTTTATGTCAACAGAAAGAGGTGGAAAATACCAGCCCTTACTTTCCTCCTGTCTATACTTTATAGTTGTTACTATGTGTACTGTAGCATGGTTCTGACTGGCTGGATTTGGATGAAGCTATTGTACTAACCTGAGAGGTGAGGAGCAAGACATTACTAAAAGTCTGTTAAGGCTTTTTGCAATCTGTTTTCAAATTTGCACTGGCTCCTGTTTAAAATTAAGGGGGCAATAAGCTAAACATGCTTTAAAATATTGAATATGACTAAACACTGCCAATCAGATTGCTGTTAAATGAGTGTTACTGTGCACATGTGTTGGCACATACTCCATTTAAGCTCTAACATATGTAAGGAAAGTTTATGGCCCTGTGAAATAAGAACATTTACAATTAATATCTATGTAATTAAGTGCAATTTTCCCACAAAAATAAGCCATTATAACTGGGCTGCATTTTATGTTAGATTTGTTTGAAGCCAAGGGCTTTGATTCTCTGTTCACTTTTGCTGTCTAACTTGGGAGTAATAGACTTGCTGGCAATGGCTTTCTGCTGCTACAGAAGGAGAACCAGTCCCACAGGCTTAAGGTACAGGCTGTGTGTGACCTCCCCAGGGCCCAGAATGCCAAAAAAATTAATAGGAATAAAAATAACTTCTTTAATATATACATATTGGTTGAAAATGAGAGAAAAGGCCGTTCCAATTTTCTACAAGAGCTGAACAAGTACCCTCATGTATTACTCTGCTTCTCTAAAGTTAGGAAAGATAAGATTTTCAGTATTCAAAACCAGCTGCTTGCAGTTTTGCTTTGCTTTCTTTCAAAAAGAGCTCTTGCACTGATTTTCATGTTCAACTCTGGATAAAGGTTAATAGGCATATTGTTCTCCCCCCACCCTTATCAGCATCCCACTCAGAGTACATAAATTTAGGTGGGCAGTGTGTGCTGTTATGTGCCATGCAGGTTAACAGTCAATTTAGCCAATATATGGAAACAGAGCACTGGTTTTCAGCCCTGAAACCATTCATATTTTATTCTTCTGACATTTCATGGTAGCCTTTCTTGTAAATTTGCCTTCAGTGACCCTTTGAGCCCATACATCAGCCTGAAACCAAAACAACAATAGCAAACAAAGGCAAGGACTTCCTTATGGACTTAGAGACCTTTTTGTTTGTTTACAGTTTATTTTGGCTTTTCTTTTTAAGAGGGAGGGCAGTTTGCCAAAACTCAGCATATGTCCTTGTAAAGATTTAAATGGCTTTTCCCACAGATGGCTCTGGTTACCTGGGAAGAATTTTGATGTATGTTAAGATGCTCATAATGAGAAGTGTCTAGCTCTGTGAAGCCTTTCCAAGAATTATCCGGTGTTCTTGAAAAAAAAACTTCCATGAAATGATTGTCCACTCCTGTGTTGCACTGGTGACCTGTCACATTCCAAGGCAGAAAATAGCATAATGTGATACAAATAATGGCTAAATTATTTTGCTGTGGTGGTAAACTGTCTAAATGTAGAGAACCTTCTTCTACGTCACTGGTGCCTGTGCACCCGAAGAAGGCTGCAGGATTGTCCTGTGTCTTATGAATAAAAAGGCAGAGCCTCTAATCCTTGACATATCCTTCAGTTAAAACCAGTGTCCCTGTTGTTCCCTCAGCTAAAACCAGTGTCCCTGTTCTTCCCATTCACATTAAGACTTGACTCATAACTCAATGGTAGCTGAAAAGATCTGGGCCTAGCCCGAATAAAGGGTGAAGTCCATCATACTGCAGAGCCCTGTCAGCACACTGTTGAGATCATTTGTTGCTAGCTAGCTGCCTTGTCTGGTACATCAGGTGACACTTAACCTGAGGTGCATAAGGGACAGGCTTTCTCAGGTACCAAATACAGTCAGTAATGCCAGAATGTTGCCATGAAGGAGGAATGATTGGTTAGAAAGGTTTTAAGGTACAATTAGGTTTTAAGTTGTTAGTTCAAAGTGATGAGACAGACCAGTACACTCAGAAGGCATGTAAAGGAATTGAGAGTGCAGATAGATCCAGGCTGACACTATCTAGAAATTGAGCTACGCTGTTTGCTCAAAAAGAGGCAGATGGAATGAGCTGGAGTTCTGCCAGAGTTTACTTTGCATTGCTTGTGCAGTATAAGATCTCTGCCATGAACCACAGCATTTTGTATGGACCCATGCAAACTTCTTTGAAATTCTTTCAGTGGTAAAGGAAGCTTGGGATCAGGACCTGAGGAGATGGTTCAGATAGCAGTATTGTATTTTGAGGAACACACTTCTTTCTTTGTTTCTACAGTTGGATAGTTTTAAACCTCAAACAGGTGCATGAAAAGAAGTCATTCTGATATGACAGTTACAAAGGAAAGTTGTAGCTGGAAAGATAGTACTTTGGAAAGATTTTTCTTTTTTACTGCACTTGATGTGAAAAATAAAGGTTATGAATAAAAGCACCATAGACAGCTGTGTATTAGGGGTTCAGCCACCTACTTAAGCTCTTACTTTTCCACTAATACCTGTAGGAAATAAAGAGCCTAAATACTAGCTTGATTATTAGCTCTAAGTTTTAGGACGGCTTTGGAATGAGGCAAACTACATTTACTTATTCATCTGCTCAGGACAGTAAGTACAGCTGGTACCTCAAAGATGACAGGAAGGGATAGCTCAGGAGGTGACCCATTTTTCAATCCTTAGTGTTGTAGAGCATATTTTCTTCCTGTGCACCACGCTCCAGACTGTAACTAAATGTCATGTCTGAAGTAAGGACATGGACGTCTAATAAGGTTTACTCTCATCTCTTTCTCTGGGGACATCTCAACTCTCTCCATTTAACTTTCCAGCCTGATTTTCATCATCTTACACTATGCAGGGCTGTCCTATGCATCGCTGTTGTCCCTAATTACTTTTGCTTTCATTACTGCAGAACATGCTACCAAAAGAAATGTGATCAGAAAGTTCAGGTAACTTCTAGAACTCACTGCCTTAAAGAACAAATTCAGATTTTATATAAATCCTGTGGCCGTACACAATCATACCTGTATGTCCACTGAGGCTTAACCTGATCATCAAAGCCTTTGCAAGGTTGAGGATAACCAATAAAAATCCTCACTGAGGCAAATGAATAGTCTTTATAAATAATATTCTAAAAATAACCTAGTTTTTAAATAAAACATGCAGAAGTCAAAAGGGGTTTTCCTATTAGTGCTTGCTTGCTAATTCCCTCTAGTCACTCCATGTGATTTAGTTACTTGTGGAGAGTTTTGCAACCACCTTATCAATTCGGAAATATCAGAAACAAAAATTATTATCCTGCTTTTTGTGGTTATCAAAGTGTTACAGAGAAGCAGACAGTAAAATCATATCGTTTCAACTGTTCTATGTGAACAGTAGTCATTAATTGTAATCGAATATTTGGAATCCCAGAGGTAATGTTGAATATTGGACAGTGGCCAAAATCTAGCCTCCGATCTTTTTTGTTTTTTTAAACTTACAATAGCTCTTATCTCCTTTTCTCTTAGAGAAGGGAAAGGAGATTTCAAAACTGCTCACATGTCACAGCTTGTGTTTCTTATCAGCAAAGAGATTGTCCTTCAAAGATATTTTAGATTGAAGTATGCTTTTTACTGACCTTACCTAAATTTAAAATTCCTGTGGCAATTTTTTTGCCATTATACAAAGCTCTGGTCACAAATTATCTTTTTAGTCATCCATGCTTTCCCTTTATTGGCTCAATTAATATTTTTTTATGGTAGCTGGAATTAGCCATAGTTCAAAGGCAAATGATTACTGTGGGTTTGGCTTGCAGCCTTGACAGGTATCCCAGCCATCTGTAACCATCTGCAGAGAAAATCCTTGTGTGTCTTCCTCCAAAACCAAAACTTTAAAGTTGTAATTGGTAGATTTTTTCCTTAAGGCTTTTCATAGTTATAAAATGAATTCTAATTCTTCGTGCCTGCATGTGTGATATTCAAAACATAACCCTGCCTTCAGTGATGCATGTATTCTGGAGGCATGTGCCTGTCATCCGTGAATAAAAATTCTTTGTTTGCACTGGCCAAAAGCAAACTTTTTACCTTCATGATAGAGCAAATGTAATGTGTTGCACTAGTATGTGTCCTCTTAACTGACCGTTAGCCTTGCGTGTGTGCCAAAATAACTACACCTTTGTGTACGTTGAGTGTAGTGTGAGTATTATGTTCTTGGCTTGTCAATTAGTTGGTATTAAGTAATGTAAAGAACCAGACTTGTGTAGGTTTGTGTGTGTACACATACTCTTTGGATCCAGCTAAGTAGCTAAGCCGTATAAATGTTGATGCAAACCTTAAATCTTACTAGGGCCAAACTCTAGTCCTGCAGCCAGTGCTGTTCAGCTTGGCCTGTTGGGGACATTGCCATTCTCCCTTCATAGCATGAAGGTAAAGATCTAAGGAGGCTTCTATGGTTTTACCCTGTTCATATTTCTGAGGGAAACCATTCTTCAGCAATTCTAACATGGACTTGCTGTGGCATGAGTTTCTCCATAGTGAGGAAGCAGGAGAGAGAGAGCAAGTCAGGGTGGAAGCAAGCTTTCCTCTGAGTGCTCTCAAGAAACAATTTAAAATTATGCTCTGCATAGGCCCTGTATTTTTCTTTGCCCTAATTTTGGGAAGCAAGTTGACACTCACTATCTATGCACA